CTTCTACTTCTTCCTGTCGTCTAGTGGTGTACAAGTATCTAGTTGATTCGTCTAGAGAGACACGAATGAATCGAGTGAATTCCTATCGAGGAAGCCGCTGCTTATATCCTCGGTAGGAATACGTTAAAACTAGTGGGGATAACGATTTTTATCCACCCGAGGTGTTAACGTCGCTTTTTGGATTCAATATTTTGATTTATTATTTGATTTGATTGTTTGATTTGACTAATTGGATTAACGGTTTCTTCAAGTACCGGTTTACTGGTATTTCTATTGTCTTCGGCGCGTGCCAGCTTTTAGCGTCTGGGCACTTGTTTGTTTTGATTTTAGTCTGTCGACTGTATTTCGGATTCTAGGAATGTTAAAGGTAATAATTTCTAATATTATATCCTCATGACTGTCGCTGTGACTAGATTCAAGGAACTTATGCAATATTAGAGAATTAAAGGTCCTATATTCTCTTTCCTTTATCGGCGTCGCTGTGAGAGGTCGATAGGATTCTTGAGGAATTCTAGGATTTGAGGAGTTCTCTCAGATACTGTTATGCACATCCACAGTGCGCTATGCACTCTTATGTGGGGCTCTTGACGTATCCATCATCGAGAATGATGATTGGGAAGGAAAAGGATGAAGGATAGGGGGGTATAAGGACGGAACGTTACAGTATATATGATGATAGAAACTTTAGGTATTCAAGAAATGATTCTGAACAATGCCAGTGTGTATTGGTTGATAAGCAATATTCAGTATATTGTAAATGAATATAAAAAGTGGTACAATGGTATGATGGACCCAAAATTGGTCGGTTGATATCCGTGGTTTCGTGTTATGGTGTTGTTTGTGTTGTTCGCGTTACAATGGTTGTATTGCAATTGTGTACGTGTAACTGATATTCTGTTGCGTATATGATTAAGCGGTACGATCAACCGTAACAGTAAATATGTATATGTACGTGGTGTAATAATACGATAATGAAACACTGATTATTATAATGTGTTGGACTCACCGGTGAAGGCAAGAGAGAGATATTCTAGGTGGTTTGTGACGAGTCCCCGAAAATAGTATGTAATCCAAAATTTAGATGATGGTCCTTTTCCTGGCCGCTAAGGTAGGCACTGACACTAGTGTAGTGGTTGTTATACACAAGAACACTGAGTTCAAAAGGGGTAAAACTTGTTGTGATTCTTGATTGGTTCTGCTGCTCGGCCCTAAGGCGAGGAAGACAAGATAGGCCCTAAGGTATATTGGCTAACACAATGGATTTGACACTAAAGGCCATTCTACAATGCAATATAATAAGAAATAAGCAATAAGATCTTCGATTGATATTTACCTAATTCCATTGGATCCTCCAACCAGGAAGGAGAAAATCGTTTTTAAAACCGAGCGTTTACTAAGTCCCTACGATTTTTGTGACGTCTTGGACATAGCAACGATACGGAAGCGGTTGCTACGGTCTTTAAGAACTTCACGGAGCACAAAACGTGATGAGTAACATCGAGCATGCCCCGTTCCGAAATTTATAACGGCTTACGTTAGAAATAGATAGCAACGATACGTAAGCGGTTGCTAGGGTCGCTAAGGATTTCACGAAGCACGAAACGTCATTGTCAACTGTCATTACCTGTCACCTGTCATGATCTGTCAATATATAAATATAGGAGCAATAGCACTTAAGGTAGGTAATTTTTAATAACGTTTTTGCAATTTCTGGTGGTTTAATTAATAGTTCCAAGGAGTTACTCAGGTAATTATCTGTCAATATATAAATATTAAAGTGTATGCGTTTATTCATACAGATAAGTAAATCATTACTTCATTTTTAATGTCACAATGACTTTTATCGTAGAGAAATTTGATTTCTCTAACGATATTGATAATGACCTCGTCTATAGAATTGGTAATGACAGGTGACAGGTAATGACATTTGACAATGACGTTTCGTGCTCCGTGAAATCCTTAGCGACCCTAGCAACCGCTTCCGTATCGTTGCTATGTC